GGGAGGGAGGGAGAGAAAACACGTGTGGGTGCTCCTCCTCCTTGGACCACCCTAGACAAAAGATCCCCCAAGATCCCCCCTTTCTTGAGCCCACCCATCTCACGGGCTTGAAACAAGAATAAAATGGTCACCATATGGGGAAGTGCTCTGTAAAGACAAAAGTCCTGCAAACATCTCACGCTCAGTACTGTGAAGTTATTAAAATACAATCACACATAAACTTGAGCTTACCGCACCATCTTCGAATGCAGTGAGCAAGTTCTGGGCAAGCTGATGCAAAGAAGTGCAGGTGTCTGGTGACAGGGAAGGGCAGATTGGAAACAGGCTGGCTTGTCATCAGAGCCATCCGAGAGAGTTCAGAAAAATAGATCTGTGAGTTCCAGTGGTATGGACGTAGATGAGGGTGGCTAGACTTTTTTTTTTTCCTCAAAAGTTCTGCAGACCACATGCTATCCTTTAATAAAAGAAGAATGAATATGTAAATGGTTAAAACTATCGGTCTATTGACAAGAAAGAACAAGAAAGTTATGTGAGGAGAAGGATTTTTTTTTCTCTTTTTACACTAATTATTTGTTTGAAAGCTAAACTACAATCCGGGATTTCTAGAGATGCCTGTACCTTCTGGTCCCCACTTTTCCATGTCCCCGCCCTCTGCAGCATCCAATACTTAAGCCAGCTTTATGCTTTCCTAAAGAACCATTAGGATGCCAGGGTCGTTTGCTGCGCTTGCCCTTTGCAGACAGGCCTGTTGAAACTCACCCCTTTAAGGTCGGCTGTGGTCCGGTACCCTCTGGAGGGGCCATGTGTAGTAGCGGCAGCTCACAGTGACATCTCTGAGGCTCTCATCCGGCACTGGCCGTCCTTACCTGGCTTTGCATGCTCCTGTTTGGGCGTCTTATATGCACTAGGTTTCTAGAAACTTCCTTCATGTGTTGTCTACATAGATGGCTGCTGAGGAGGAAATTGCTGACGTCATTAGAGCTACTGACTGGAAAACTACATAAGCTGCCTGATGTGTTCCCCAACTAGAGGGAAATTGTCCCTTGTCTGTAAAATAAGTAAAATTTGGAGTAAAGGTGTGGTTGGGCTAAGTTCTGGCTCCAAATTGAGTAAATAACAACAACTTCTTCTCCTTCTCCTCCTCCTCCTTCTTCTTCTTCTTCTTCTTCTTCTTCTTCTCTTCTTCTTCTTCTTCTCTTCTTCTTCTTCTTCTTCTTCTCTTCTTCTTCTTCTTCTTCTTCTTCTTCTTCTTCTTCTTCTTCTTCTTCTTCTTCTCTTCTTCTTCTTCTTCTTCTTCTTCTTCTTCTTCTTCTTCTTCTTCTTCTTCTTCTCCTTCTCCTCCTTCTCCTCCTTCTCCTCCTTCTCCTCCTTCTCCTCCTTCTTCTCCTCCTTCTCCTTCCTTCTCCTTCTTTAGGTAAATAGCCTAACACCCCCAAGCCTTCATGCTAAGTTTTGAACCTTTTTATGTGGAGTTAGACCATGGGCTTAAGACATCAAGATAGTAAGGTCTAGAATGGTGGGTGGCAACTGCTCCTCTGTCCGCACCCACCCCACCCCTACCAGTCTCCACTGGTGACTTGTCAAAGACTGTTGCTGAGTTTTGACATCCAGCTGGCTCTCTTCCTTCCAAGTCATAGTCTACCAAGGACAGATTATACTTTTCTCTTGTGCGTGATTGTATCTAGACACAACACAGCCCAGAAGAATCTATGGGCTCTGGCAGCAATTGCTTGTGTCTTATAGTACTATAACCTGATAGGGACTTCATCGGTTTGATGGTCCGTTTTATTTGCTACCTTTCTTTATAGCCCTCAGCTCTCTGGGTCAGAGGTGACTACAGCCATATTTTCTGGTCCTTCCTTACATTCCTTTACTTAGCTTCCTACTAGGTATGTAACTTGTATAATATGTAAATTGCAGGTTGAGATGAATGAACCAATCTCTTCAGGACATGCTCGTTGAGATTCTACCAGGTATAAATGCTAGGAGTTGGGATTATGAAGGTGAGGTGATATCTATCTCTTAATCTCTGGTGACACACATGACAACAAGAAATTATTCACATGCTCAGACTCCAGCGAATAGAGTAATGTGTGTGTGGGTTGTCAGGATTCTTTGAAGGCAACTAATATAACAGCTCATTTAAAGCGTGAACAGATTTATAATCTTAGAAGTCAAGCCGGGTGGCGGTGGTGCACGCCTTTAATCCCAGCACTTGGGAGGCAGAGGCAGGCGGATTTCTGAGTTCGAGGCCAGCCTGGTCTACAGAGTGAGTTCCAGGACATCCAGGGCTACACAGAAAAACCCTGTCTCAAAAAAAAAAAATCTTAGAAGTCAAAATCTTTGGGTATAGGAATCCCCATAGTTGCCTAATACAGCACGGTTCTGGTTCTTTTGAATTTTTCCTTACAATCCCAAGAGGGCAAAGGGAAAGAGTGAAAGTAAACAAAACTGGGGTTTCTAGCAAGGAAGAAGGGTGTGTTGTGTATACACACATGAGATGCATGAGTGTGCATCCGGGTGTGCGTGTGTCCGGGTGAGCAAGATCGACTGCCGTACCACGATGGAAGAGTTTAGGAGTCCAGAGACCAATTTTACCTGAGACATGCAATTGTTTAAGGATAGGTTCAAGCACACACATGAGGAATACACTGTGCTAGGCTTATTATAAAGGCATTTAACTACTACTGTTTAATAAAATACACAAAACTAAGCACGTTTATTTAAAAAAAAATTAAGCAGCAAAGGCAGACACTGTTAGGCGTGCTGGGTGCCCCTCACGTGTCTGTGTACTTACAAAGGCTTTAGTGTTCTCGTAGGCACGCACCCATCATTATAAACAACCTCAGTACTTAGTTTGTTTGTGGTCTTAGCCTGGCTCGTCAGGGTTGAAGAATGAGCGAACAGCGAGGATTATTGGGCTCCACTGTATTTGGGAAAAGCAAGCGAGTCTGGTGAAGGAGAGAGTTAAAAATAAACCAGAAGTGATGCAAGAAAAACACGAAGTGACCGGATGCGTGGCTGTGTTGGCCAGTTTCAGCAGGTGTGTCTGCTTCTCAGGCAGGATTCTTCTGGAAAAGCTTGCAGGATGAAGTTGCACTTCAGAGAAGGTCTCCTCAAGCAGAGAGGGAGGGGAGCTTTCTTAGGTTTCTCCTGCTTCTGATATCCCGTGGGGTCAAGCCTCTTCCCTGTCAGAGGGCGCTCACAGGGGGTCGGGGCCGGGGTACAAGGTAGCTCCTCATATTTCCAGCCCTTGGACAGTCATCACGCACCACTGTGTGGCATGTCACCCAAATCTGGAAATGAGAGGGACATATCAATGATGATAGCCTCTGTAGACCTGTAGGCCTAGGGTTCGAACTCAAACTGCAGCCTGCTCAGGGAGCTCAGCAAAGCCATGTACTGCAGGAAGGACACAATAAAGGCACTGGTGTGACCTTCAGGATGAAGGCTTACGTGAAAAAAAAAAAGGAAGTTTTGCAAAAATGGAATATTATGAACCTTGTTCTATTTGCTTTCCTGATGAAAAAGCAAAAACAAAACAACAACAAAAACTATAGCCACTTTTCCACACCAGTATTTTGTGACCAAGTTTGCTTTTTTTTACCGAGTGCCTAGGATTCCAGAGACTAGATATGCCATAATAGAATTGCCATTTTCTATTGATGGGCATTCAGATTGTTCTTCCGAGTTCTCCCGATTGTGCAAGGTTTCCGGGAGAACAAATTCAAACTCCTAAGAGGAGTGTCGAAGGAGAGGCCTTATTGAAAACTAGGCACACACCTGTGGGCCACTTAGGTGACCTGTGTCTAGGACTACATTAATTACGCACCACTGCACCTCGCCTGAGGGCTGGCAGTTTGAGCTTTGCAAACGGAGCTCTGTAACTTTGATAAACCTTGCTACGCTCCCAGGAGGCTTCCAACTCAAAGAGATTATTTTTTCTCCCCATTTTCGCATCTGCCCAAAGCCTTTCCATCTGAGTTATTTTGTCAGCGAGTGATGATCTTACGTAAGTAAAGAAATGAACTATGAATTCTGACTTCTGTGCTTGAGTTTGGGGAGTTTTATCATCTAGACAATGACTTTAGTCAGAGTATGGTGGGGACGGGGACGGGGGAGGCAGGTGACAGTGTGCTTTCCCAGACAATGTTCATCTGTAAGAAAAGAACATGGGAAATGTTACATGTCTTACATATTAGAAAAGCAAACCTCTTCAGGTTTCAGGAAGAATTTATTATTATTTTTTATCTTGTGTTTGTATCTTGTTAAAGCAATGACATTTTGATGGTTTCAAATTTCTTGACCCCTGATGTGGAACAACAGGTGTCCTACTTGATTTTCCTGTTTTCTAGACAGCTCTTCTTCCTCAGTCTCCAAAGCCTACTCCCCCTGAGTTCACCGCCTACCCTTTCTCTTCTTCCGCTAAAATGACATTTTAGAAATTGCACTTTTCCCCTGATCTTAATAACTCCCCTCAGTTAAAACTCAATTGATGTCAGATAGTAATGGGTTATAAATAAAAAATAATCTTTCTTCTACTGCCTTTTTGACTCTTTTTCCCAGAAAAGTTTAATAATAACATAGTATGGTTTGAATAAAAATGGCCCCCATAGGCCCATGGAGAGTAGCACTGTTAGGAGGTGTGGCCTTGCCGGGCAGTGGTGGCGCACGCCTTTAATCCCAGCACTTGGGAGGCAGAGACAGGTGGATTTCTGAGTTCGAGGCCAGCCTGGTCTACAGAGTGAGTTCCAGGACAGCCAAGGCTATACAGAGAAACCCTGTCTCAAACAAAAAAAGGAGGTGTGGCTTTGTTGGAGTAGGTGTGGCTTTGTTGGAGTAGGTGTGGCTTTGTTGGAGTAGATGTGGCCTTGTTCGAGGAAGTGGGCCTTGAGGTTTCAGAAGCTCAAGCTACGCCCAGTGATAAATTCTTTCTTCCTGCTGCTTTCAGATTGGGATGTAGAACTCTGAGCTCTCTCTCCAGCATTGTCGGCCTGCATGCCGCGTGCTCCCCATCATGATGATAACGAACTAAACCTCTGAACTGGAAGCCAGCCGCAATTACATGCCTTCCTTTATAGGAGTTGCTCCGGTCGTAGTGTCTCAAACAGCATTTGAAACCCTAAGTCATGTAGGTCTGTTGGAGAAGGAAAAGGAGATTCTACATAGAATTTACATCATTTCAAAAATATACTAATTGGTATAAATAAAGAAGCCAAACTTACAGTGTAACCTAGTCCCGAAAGGTGCCTGGCTCTTAAGTGCAAATGAGTCGGAGAATGTTTTCAAAATCTTAAAATAAATGCTAACATATTTTAATGACAACGTTCTGATATTGGGGGATATATCTTGTGGCTTTTGAATGGTAGAACAATTTCACAGATAATAAACTGAACAAACCTTATACCACTGATCTACACCCCAGTCCTATTTTTCACTGATTATAAACTGTACCCCCTGGGCTCAGTGACTGCCTAAAATTGTATTATTATTTTGTTTTTTTGTTATAGGATTTCTTTTTATAGCCCTGTGTCTTAGCTGCTGTGAACAGACACCATGACCAAGAAAACTCTTATAAGGACAACCTTTAATTGGAGCTGGCTTACAGGTTCAGAGGTTCAGTCCATTATCATCAAGGTGGGAACATGATAGCATCCAGGCAGGCATGGCGAAGGAGGAACTGAGAGTTCTACATCTTCATCTGAAGGCTGCTAGTGGAAGACTGACTTCCAGGCAGCTAGGATGAGGGTTTTAAATCCCACACTCTCAGTGACACACCTACGCCAACAAGGCCACACCTTCTAATACTGCCACTCCCTGGGCAGAGCATATATAAAAACTATCATACCCTGGCTGTCCTGGAACTCACTCTGTAGACCAGGCTAACCTCAAACTCACGGAGATCTACCTGCCTCTGCCTCCTACATTAGTGCTGGGATTAAAGGCTTAAAAATTTAAAAGGCTTTGATTATTTGAATTTTGATATTCTTAGAATCCGGAGTTATTTGTATCTTTTGCATGCTAGGACAGAGGAGATGGTTTAGTGGGTCACATTTTTTGCTGGGCAAGCATGAGGAGCTGGGTTCGGACCCCCAGCATTTATTTAAAGCCAGCTGCTGCAGGGCGTGGCTGTCCTAAGGTTGGAGCAGAAGCAGGTGGGTCACTGGCCAGCCAGACTAGCTGAGGTAGTGAGCTTTAGGTTTAGTGAGACATGTTTCAAAATTGAGGTAGATAGAAGACATCTGACAGGCCTTCAAGCATACACACATGGGCAGGTCACCCACCCCACGCACATGCGCACACACATACCTGCAAACTGTCTCATCCATCGTGTGTGTGTGTTTTAGTGTGTGTATGTGTTACTGTGTGTGTTAGTGTGTTAGTGTGTGTGTGTGGTGTGTGTTAGTGTGTGTGGTGTGTGTTAGTTTGTGTGTGTTTGTGTATATGTGTGTGTTAGTGTGTGTGTTGGTGTGTG